ATAAATTTTGTTGATACTGATTTCATTTGCTTGGTAACAGCCCAGATGCAAGAATTTGACTCAAAAGATGGTGCACACTTTTAGAAAAAATGGCTTAAAGGTAAAAATGCCCATAAAACTTGTTGGAAATGATTACTTTCTATCACTGCTGTGAACTGACCAAACAGAATATGAAGAATATCAAAAAATTCTGGAGTCAGCTGTTAGCACAATTAAAGATAAGATATCAGCACAATAACACACACTAGCAAAATATTGTCTAATTATCGTTATCGATAAAATCCCAGAAAATTATCGAGATATAATTTTTTGGCAATATCGCACACCCCTAATTTATGTTATTTAATTGATATAAATACTGTTTTTGTTAGTTTTTCCTGTTTTTTGTTTCTCAAACACGATCAGTTTTACCAGGGATGAGCAATGAGCAAAATAATGCAGCACATTAAATTGCCAACGCAAAATAAATAACTGTCTATAAAAAGAAAAACATTACGTCTAAATTAACTCATATAAATCAAACATTTAGAGCAGCAGTCATATTTGTCCATATAAAAAATGCACTGAATATGCGTTCTGTGTGAATGGCTTGGTTTCGGGTTTAACCTAATCAAGATCTTCTACGCATTGAGCTACTATATTTCTCTAATATTTTGAATGAATAATGCAGCAACTGCGTGTCTTGTGGGCTAGACTTATAAAACATTAAAATGCAACAACGTCCCTTACATCATCATCACCGCATCTCGTGCTCCACTAATGACGCTCCCAGACGCACACCTAACATTTGATTGTACTATTTTTGCATTAAAGTGCAAATGTTTTTTAAATTCGACTAATGTTCAATTATTTTTTTTAAATTCACAATCTCCTCGTCACAGGCAGGCACAGCACTCAGTGCAGCATGTGTTCGTGTTTGTGTGTGCGGTCTGCGTCACATATAGCACGTGCCTATATCGTGCGCTATATCAAACATTTTTTCTATCGTTATCGAAGAGGGTGTACCGTTGATAAATATCGATACCGTTTTATCGCCCAGGCCTACCCTGAACCATCTTTTAAGCTAATAGCCTTTCTTGGTTTGGTTTTCATTGGTGAGATGCTAGTGTTCTCATATTATTTAAAGATACAATTTCTACTCTATTGTCACAAAACGGAATTGCATTAATTTTGAATGTTTTAAAATGGTTTTCCTAAATGCTTCCTCTGTCTGCTGTTGGTTAGTTTAAACCTATATTTTCAGTTCAGTCCCATTTCCTTCTGGTTGGGATGCTCAATAGAGAATGTTTTATGGTAAATTATGTGTTGTGGCACTCTATTGATGGAAATCAACCTACAAATGCTGATCAGAGTTATACTCTGAGCTCAGTTTAACATATGTATAGCATGTTTAAATCCATTCAGCAGAATTCTGTTACTTTTAGTCCAAAATCAGCTTGGAAAATGTGAATGAATCATCAGATTCTGTGTGGGCCTATTTCCGCTAAGTACCGTCTTAGTTAAAAGATGATTTGAAGAAGAAAAACATCTTGCTTAAAATCCTCAGGCCATTTTCATCTATAGTACTACAGTGTGAGGATGTCAGAAATGCTAAATGGAACATTTCTGCTGCCTTGGATGAGATTTGTTCCTCGCACATCTTGCGCTTGCTCCACCAAATGGCTATATCCTGTGCCAGCAGGCCTGGAGATGAACTGACAGGAGCTGAACGCTGTTCACATTAGGACAGTTTGTAGGATGTGCTATAGGCAATAATTCAAATGTGTAATGAACACTGCTTATTTTAGCTTGCAAATGTTCATGTGATTTTTGCATATCATTCTGTTGCATGCCTATGGCATCAAATAGAGCTGACCGACTAGCCAGTGCCAGCAGTTTGAGGCCTGATGGTTTGGACGTTCTATTCATTGGACTACTATCTGTTCTGTTAACCCATATGCACAGTGTTACATGCCAGCGCTTTAACCAACCAGATCTGATTTCATTGGTTTCTGCTTTCTCAGCATTCTGGGAGCTGGTACAAAGCTATTTGAATGGCAACTGTTATTTGTAGATAGGGTTGCAAAGGGGCAGAAAATATCTGCAAACTTTTTTTTTTCCAAAAAATTGTATAAACTCCCAGTCAAATGTTTGGACACGCTTGCTCATTTATATATATATATGTGTTTTAAAGAAGTCTCTTCTGTTCATCAACGCTGCATTTATTTGATCAAAAATACAGAAAAAACTGTAATATTGTCAAATATTATTACCATTTAAAATAATAGTTTTCTATTTTAATGTACTTTTAAAGGTGACATGAAAATCTGACTTTTCAAGGTTTTAAGTGCTATAATCAGGTCCCCGGTGCATCTACCAACTAAGGAAATGTGAAAAAGATTAACCCAGTAACTTTGTTTTGGTAAGCCTTTTTCTGCAAGCGTCTGAAAAAAACGAGCGCGTCTGATTTCGCTCCCTTGGTGACGTGGCAAAGGGATCTCATTATAATATCATGTCCCTTAATCTGTAAATTTGCACCCATGGCGCCGTCATTTGATTTCGCAAGCGACAACGGTGTACCAGTTCTAATGCCATGGCGAAAGTTTGAGCAAAACATGCTAACTGTTCTGTCTTTGGCTGCACAGACGAGCACAAAACACTATTTAGAGTCCCAGCCTCAGAGGAGACAACAGAGCAGTGGATTTATTGATTTATTTAATGTATATTGCTGCTGCCACACAGATCTAAAATAAACATGCAATTTATTTCTCAGCTGTTTACCTTCACAGACATAACCGATTGTTTTTGTAACTCATGTGTGTTTTTAAAGTAAACTTGTATGTGAATGAGAACTTAGTTTAGTACTCAGATGCCGTGACAGCTGCTTTCTGTCCGTGTGCTTCGGATGTGTGCGCTCAGAAAACCGTATATCAGATGTTTAAACTAATATGGTTTAAAACGCATGATTTCAGCGCGATAAACATGATGATCAGAATCAAAACAGTTGCTTTTTAGCAGGTCCGAGCTGTAATGGTACAGCTCTATTCTGGAAAAGGGGGCGGGGAGCAGCAGCTCATTTGCATTTAAAGAGACTGGCCCGAAAAACAGCGTGTTTCTGCATCCACTCAAAATAGACATTTTCAAAATTATATAATAAATGATCTGTGGAGTATTTTGAGCTGAAAATTCACAGGCACATTCTAGGGACACCAGAGACTTATATTACATATTGTAAAAAGGGGCATAATATGTCTCCTTTAAAATATAATTTATTTCTGCGATGCAAAGCTGATTTTTCATCATTACTCCGGTCTTCAGTGTCACATGATCCTTCAGAAATCATTCTAATATGCTGATTTATTATCAATGTTGGAAACCGTTGTGCTGCTTAATATTTTGTTTTGGAACCTGTGATCCTTTTTTCAGGATTATTTGAGGAATAAAGTAAAAAATTTATTCAAAATAGAAATCTTTTCTAGCAATATAAGCCTTTATTAAAACTTTTTATCAATTTAACACATCCTTGCTGAATAAAAGCATTAATTTCTTTAAAAAAAAGAAAACAATTCTGACCCCACACCTTTGAATGGTAGTGAATACTGTATATTGTTACAATATACTTTTATTTTGAATAAATGCTGTTCTTTTTTACTTTTCATTCATTAAAGAATATGGTGAAGCTGAATTTTGTAGGACCTTTGATGAACTTGTATCTTTCTAATCAATACAGAGAGTCAACATGCAATATTAGCTGAAATGGTAGCTTTTCCATAAATTAATCTTTACTCTATCTTTACCATACAGCTACTGAGGAAGAAGAACAAAAGCCTTTCTCCTTGACTGACAAAGTGTCTCTGTACAAAGGTGACATTACCATCCTGGAGCTGGATGCCATAGTGAATGCTGGTGAGTTTGCGGTTTCTGATCAGTTGCAGTTTTAAAGCTAAATGACCTTAGCAAGGCAATTAGTGCACAAGTGTGGCACTGTGATTTTCATGTTTTTTTTTTTAATGCTATGTGTTCATTTTTACTTATACTCCTGCTGGATGTTTTGTATAGTCTAGGATCCGCTTTGCATTTGTTGTGCTTGCCTGACCTCTGGTGTCTGTAAATGGCACAGGCATGACTATTTTTTCCCCTTGTTTATTCTGATGCATTTTACATGACAGATGAGATTTCTGCGTATGTATATTTATGTCTTTGCAGTGTGTTTTCTCTCCACCGTCCATTTTGCTGTTTATTTTTTGTTTTGATATGCCGTGAATGTTCTTTCACAGGGATGATTCTATTCCTATTCAGAATGAAACGAGATGCCAAGGAACAAACTTGTAAAATGGTTTCTTTTTCTTTTGTTTACAGAGTGAAATGGTATTATCTGTCTCACTGGCTTGTTGATTGTCTTGTCATGTTGCAGTGATAATTATTGCCTCTTTAGTGTGGGGGCTGTTTTAAATATGTTTGTTCTGAAGCAAAAGCAGTGGTTTTATTGTAGACATTCTGCAATAACTGGGTTCCACTGTGGTGAGAGCAGACAGATAACACTGTCATGGTTTACCTCAAGTCATGGAAACCTGGCAAGAAAGAGAGAAAATTGTGGTAACCCGATGCAAGTACTCAGTTAAGCATTTAGTATATATTGTGTGGGAGATTGTCGTTGATTAGACATGTTCTTGATTCAAGATGTTTATCTCAGTGTCATTCATTGAAAGGAATTGTTTAACATTCCTGCCACAGAGAGGGATTGCAGTTCATGTCCGAAATGTTTGACAAAAGCATCCGTGAAATGTGATCTTTGCTGGACCATTGATTCCAACAAATGGAAACTCTTAACAGCTGTGTTGTGCTCCGCTTACAGCAACTACAAAAATGTGTTTCGTGAATGATTGAGGTTTTTTGTTTATCTCAACGTAGTTCAGGCATTATGCGGCCTAATTGAAGTAACAATGCCTGCGAGCTTTGGGATATTTAGGCTAATTTAAACCTTCTGTTGAGTTTACTGCTGTTCTGTGAGCCGTGAACCTTGCAAACTAGTAGAATCATTATCGCTTGTCTGAGTTTCACATTTCCGTAATGTGTATTTACTCTCGCATACTAGGTTATTTCTAGTTTCCTTAGTGTGATGTAGGGCTGCAGGCTGATATAGCAAAATATGATGTATGATTTTCAGTAAACAATAAATGTATATTTTAATGCATGTTTATTTATTTGATAGGGACGATGCATGTTAATGAACATTTGTAGTAATACAGAATGTAAACAAGCCGGATTATAGCAACATTTCTAATTTACATCCGCAGTCCCTAGGCAGGTACACACAAGGACACAGACTCATATACACATACAACAGTCCATTTTATTACTCATTTGTTACGTATATAGATATATATTCAGTTTCATGCACACATATGACTTGCCTGTTGGAACAGTACTTTTAAAGTTAAGCTTTTTTTTTTTTTTACCTAATGTCAATATGACTGTGCATCATTCAGGCTGTAGGCTGTCTTATGAAGCTATAAGGCAACTCAATAATTCATATTAACAGAGAAAGAAGAAAAACAGATAAAAAAAACCTTTTTCCTTTGCAGTGTAAAGTTTTTGTTTACTAGACAGCTTCCCCTCTGAAACTTTCTGCAAGGTTGCTGTAAGGTCAGTCAACATAGAAAACAGGAAATAAGAGAACAGGCTGAATGGGACACTGGTCTAATCTCGGTGTCTGATGTAATCATACAGATGTGAAACTGGAGTAGTAAGCAAAATGAATCAAAATGAATCACGTGTTCGATTGCAGTGTGGTTGAGCTTCTCTCAGTGCTTATTTCAACAAGTTTGTTGGCACATTCTTCCCATCATTTGTTGCATAAAAATAATGTGAAACCATTTCGTAGGGTTTGTGGCATTGAATTAGGAAAGTAATTGGTTTAAAGGCTTTAGAGTATGAGGGAGATGACTTATCATGCAGACGGGTGGCTGTTCATCCATCAAAAGCCAGCGGCTCAGGCCAGGAAAGTAATCGCGTTATTGCAACAGTGCTCTGGACTGATTCTTAAAGCCCCATTTGCTCCAGTGTTTTTGCGTTTAGATTCCTGGAATGATGTTTCCATCTCAAAGCTACAATATGGTGATAAGAACAATCAGAAAGCATCTCTGTGATTGCGGGGAACTGTCCGTTTCCAGTAGTTCTGCTGAAAATGTTTACAGCATTGTGCTCTTAGGGAAAAAAAAAAACAGTTGCTGATGTTAAACATGCTATGAATTTTTGTAATCATAAAAGTGTTTTATTCTGCTCAGCGGATTTAGATTCAATTCAAGTCCTCCTCAAATTTAGTTTGAATATCTAATTTCACTCAGAAATATGTCAGGTTACATAACAAAATGGCTTGTAAATACTTTAATCCAACTAACTATTGCATTAGACTGGAAAAGTGAGATCTGGGATGAATTGAGCTAATTGTGTGGCAGACGTTTTGCCTGTTTTGTCCCCACTGTAAGTCTCAACACCATCCTGTGTCCTTCCCCTCTGAACAGTCATTGGCTGTGTCCAAAATCACATACCTTCTGTGAAGGTTACTTGTTTTGAGTAAGAAATTATGTCCATTTGCAACCGTTAAAGAAGTTTATTCTACATAGTGTGAATGTGTGTAGTCTAAATGTAATCTGGACATACTACATTGGCCATGTTGTTATTGTCATGTGTAGGGCTGTGCAATTAAGCGCATGCGATTGTCATGCGCATCTCGTCAGTAAAGCCGGTTCCGTGATTAGTAGTAAATCTCCATCACCTGCTTTCAGATGGAGCGGCATTTACTACACAGAGCCATAGTTCACTGGCAATATCGGCGATAATGAAAGCGATTTTGCCTAATTGTCAGTGAACTACGACTCTGTGTAGCAAATGCTGCTAATTGCACAGCCCCAGTCATGTGACCTACCAACATCAGTTGTGTCTCTTCGCTGCCATTTACAACTCCTTTCCTGTGGCCTCATGGGATACCAAAGGATGCACACTTCATAATCTTGGTGGAAGTAGCAGGCCATTCGGATACCCTATGCATACTGTGTTATGAATACTGTAAGTTTGGACATGCTACTCTTCTAACATACTATTTTTCACTTACTATATAGTAGGGAATTTTGAATGCAGCCATTCTCTAGAAGAAACAGGTGGATGAAGGAACGACTCTTCCAATCCCTCCGAGATTTCATAAATCTAGTGGGCAGTTGTAATAGTTGCCAATTTCTTCCTTGAGGAGGAGAATTGCATCATCTAATGGATTTGGTTTGTTTTTGAGCATCTTACATGTTAGAAGAAAGACAACCACCCTCCCCAAAAAACTCCCAGCTGACTCAGACTCCACTTTCCCCCACATATATCTATCATCATAATCTGACTGTTTTTTTCTCCTTCTCAGCGTGTTGGTTTATAGGTAATCACAGTTATTTTCTTGAATTTAGAAATCCAACGCACCTCAATGAGACTAATTTCCGTTGTCCTCACGCATTCAACAGCCTTCTATCTGTCTCCTGGCCCTCACAGAAAAAAAACAATGTCTTAAAAAATCCAAGAAAGGAGTGAAACTGACTGATTATCATGGTTCTTCTCCTAATCATGCAGAGAGGTTGACGCAAGAGCCGTGTAACGAATCAGCTCATGGGAAATATGAATAATTAACCATAATTAGTTATAGTTAATTATGAATATTTTAGATCCGCTGTAGATATTTAGTTGACCTCACAGGGTCAACTGTCTTGTCAATTCTAAGAACATTAATTTCCTGGTTAAAGGAAATAACTTTATTACTGTACAATTCTACAAAGCTTGTAGCGTAAATCTGCATGATTAGTGACTCCGGTTATGAGCAAACAATGAACACGTCAAGTGTGATACAAGTAAGGTTTTATTAACTACATAAACACTTAAACTAGTCTAACATACTACATAAACACATAAACTGGTCTAACATACACATACACACACACACACACAGTTCTGTCTTTGGCTGCACAGACGAGCACAAAACACTATTTAGAGTCCCAGCCTCAGAGGAGACAACAGAGCAGTGGATTTATTGATTTATTTAATGTATATTGCTGCTGCCACACAGATCTAAAATAAACATGCAATTTATTTCTCAGCTGTTTACCTTCACAGACATAACCGATTGTTTTTGTAACTCATGTGTGTTTTTAAAGTAAACTTGTATGTGAATGAGAACTTAGTTTAGTACTCAGATGCCGTGACAGCTGCTTTCTGTCCGTGTGCTTCGGATGTGTGCGCTCAGAAAACCGTATATCAGATGTTTAAACTAATATGGTTTAAAACGCATGATTTCAGCGCGATAAACATGATGATCAGAATCAAAACAGTTGCTTTTTAGCAGGTCCGAGCTGTAATGGTACAGCTCTATTCTGGAAAAGGGGGCGGGGAGCAGCAGCTCATTTGCATTTAAAGAGACTGGCCCGAAAAACAGCGTGTTTCTGCATCCACTCAAAATAGACATTTTCAAAATTATATAATAAATGATCTGTGGAGTATTTTGAGCTGAAACTTCAGACACATTATGGGGACACCAGAGACTTATATTACATATGGTAAAAAGGGGCATAATATGTCTCCTTTAAAATATAATTTATTTCTGCGATGCAAAGCTGATTTTTCATCATTACTCCGGTCTTCAGTGTCACATGATCCTTCAGAAATCATTCTAATATGCTGATTTATTATCAATGTTGGAAACCGTTGTGCTGCTTAATATTTTGTTTTGGAACCTGTGATCCTTTTTTCAGGATTATTTGAGGAATAAAGTAAAAAATTTATTCAAAATAGAAATCTTTTCTAGCAATATAAGCCTTTATTAAAACTTTTTATCAATTTAACACATCCTTGCTGAATAAAAGCATTAATTTCTTTAAAAAAAAGAAAACAATTCTGACCCCACACCTTTGAATGGTAGTGAATACTGTATATTGTTACAATATACTTTTATTTTGAATAAATGCTGTTCTTTTTTACTTTTCATTCATTAAAGAATATGGTGAAGCTGAATTTTGTAGGACCTTTGATGAACTTGTATCTTTCTAATCAATACAGAGAGTCAACATGCAATATTAGCTGAAATGGTAGCTTTTCCATAAATTAATCTTTACTCTATCTTTACCATACAGCTACTGAGGAAGAAGAACAAAAGCCTTTCTCCTTGACTGACAAAGTGTCTCTGTACAAAGGTGACATTACCATCCTGGAGCTGGATGCCATAGTGAATGCTGGTGAGTTTGCGGTTTCTGATCAGTTGCAGTTTTAAAGCTAAATGACCTTAGCAAGGCAATTAGTGCACAAGTGTGGCACTGTGATTTTCATGTTTTTTTTTTTAATGCTATGTGTTAATTTTTACTTATACTCCTGCTGGATGTTTTGTATAGTCTAGGATCCGCTTTGCATTTGTTGTGCTTGCCTGACCTCTGGTGTCTGTAAATGGCACAGGCATGACTATTTTTTCCCCTTGTTTATTCTGATGCATTTTACATGACAGATGAGATTTCTGCGTATGTATATTTATGTCTTTGCAGTGTGTTTTCTCTCCACCGTCCATTTTGCTGTTTATTTTTTGTTTTGATATGCCGTGAATGTTCTTTCACAGGGATGATTCTATTCCTATTCAGAATGAAACGAGATGCCAAGGAACAAACTTGTAAAATGGTTTCTTTTTCTTTTGTTTACAGAGTGAAATGGTATTATCTGTCTCACTGGCTTGTTGATTGTCTTGTCATGTTGCAGTGATAATTATTGCCTCTTTAGTGTGGGGGCTGTTTTAAATATGTTTGTTCTGAAGCAAAAGCAGTGGTTTTATTGTAGACATTCTGCAATAACTGGGTTCCACTGTGGTGAGAGCAGACAGATAACACTGTCATGGTTTACCTCAAGTCATGGAAACCTGGCAAGAAAGAGAGAAAATTGTGGTAACCCGATGCAAGTACTCAGTTAAGCATTTAGTATATATTGTGTGGGAGATTGTCGTTGATTAGACATGTTCTTGATTCAAGATGTTTATCTCAGTGTCATTCATTGAAAGGAATTGTTTAACATTCCTGCCACAGAGAGGGATTGCAGTTCATGTCCGAAATGTTTGACAAAAGCATCCGTGAAATGTGATCTTTGCTGGACCATTGATTCCAACAAATGGAAACTCTTAACAGCTGTGTTGTGCTCCGCTTACAGCAACTACAAAAATGTGTTTCGTGAATGATTGAGGTTTTTTGTTTATCTCAACGTAGTTCAGGCATTATGCGGCCTAATTGAAGTAACAATGCCTGCGAGCTTTGGGATATTTAGGCTAATTTAAACCTTCTGTTGAGTTTACTGCTGTTCTGTGAGCCGTGAACCTTGCAAACTAGTAGAATCATTATCGCTTGTCTGAGTTTCACATTTCCGTAATGTGTATTTACTCTCGCATACTAGGTTATTTCTAGTTTCCTTAGTGTGATGTAGGGCTGCAGGCTGATATAGCAAAATATGATGTATGATTTTCAGTAAACAATAAATGTATATTTTAATGCATGTTTATTTATTTGATAGGGACGATGCATGTTAATGAACATTTGTAGTAATACAGAATGTAAACAAGCCGGATTATAGCAACATTTCTAATTTACATCCGCAGTCCCTAGGCAGGTACACACAAGGACACAGACTCATATACACATACAACAGTCCATTTTATTACTCATTTGTTACGTATATAGATATATATTCAGTTTCATGCACACATATGACTTGCCTGTTGGAACAGTACTTTTAAAGTTAAGCTTTTTTTTTTTTTTACCTAATGTCAATATGACTGTCCATCATTCAGGCTGTAGGCTGTCTTATGAAGCTATAAGGCAACTCAATAATTCATATTAACAGAGAAAGAAGAAAAACAGATAAAAAAAACCTTTTTCCTTTGCAGTGTAAAGTTTTTGTTTACTAGACAGCTTCCCCTCTGAAACTTTCTGCAAGGTTGCTGTAAGGTCAGTCAACATAGAAAACAGGAAATAAGAGAACAGGCTGAATGGGACACTGGTCTAATCTCGGTGTCTGATGTAATCATACAGATGTGAAACTGGAGTAGTAAGCAAAATGAATCAAAATGAATCACGTGTTCGATTGCAGTGTGGTTGAGCTTCTCTCAGTGCTTATTTCAACAAGTTTGTTGGCACATTCTTCCCATCATTTGTTGCATAAAAATAATGTGAAACCATTTCGTAGGGTTTGTGGCATTGAATTAGGAAAGTAATTGGTTTAAAGGCTTTAGAGTATGAGGGAGATGACTTATCATGCAGACGGGTGGCTGTTCATCCATCAAAAGCCAGCGGCTCAGGCCAGGAAAGTAATCGCGTTATTGCAACAGTGCTCTGGACTGATTCTTAAAGCCCCATTTGCTCCAGTGTTTTTGCGTTTAGATTCCTGGAATGATGTTTCCATCTCAAAGCTACAATATGGTGATAAGAACAATCAGAAAGCATCTCTGTGATTGCGGGGAACTGTCCGTTTCCAGTAGTTCTGCTGAAAATGTTTACAGCATTGTGCTCTTAGGGAAAAAAAAAACAGTTGCTGATGTTAAACATGCTATGAATTTTTGTAATCATAAAAGTGTTTTATTCTGCTCAGCGGATTTAGATTCAATTCAAGTCCTCCTCAAATTTAGTTTGAATATCTAATTTCACTCAGAAATATGTCAGGTTACATAACAAAATGGCTTGTAAATACTTTAATCCAACTAACTATTGCATTAGACTGGAAAAGTGAGATCTGGGATGAATTGAGCTAATTGTGTGGCAGACGTTTTGCCTGTTTTGTCCCCACTGTAAGTCTCAACACCATCCTGTGTCCTTCCCCTCTGAACAGTCATTGCCTGTGTCCAAAATCACATACCTTCTGTGAAGGTTACTTGTTTTGAGTAAGAAATTATGTCCATTTGCAACCGTTAAAGAAGTTTATTCTACATAGTGTGAATGTGTGTAGTCTAAATGTAATCTGGACATACTACATTGGCCATGTTGTTATTGTCATGTGTAGGGCTGTGCAATTAAGCGCATGCGATTGTCATGCGCATCTCGTCAGTAAAGCCGGTTCCGTGATTAGTAGTAAATCTCCATCACCTGCTTTCAGATGGAGCGGCATTTACTACACAGAGCCATAGTTCACTGGCAATATCGGCGATAATGAAAGCGATTTTGCCTAATTGTCAGTGAACTACGACTCTGTGTAGCAAATGCTGCTAATTGCACAGCCCCAGTCATGTGACCTACCAACATCAGTTGTGTCTCTTCGCTGCCATTTACAACTCCTTTCCTGTGGCCTCATGGGATACCAAAGGATGCACACTTCATAATCTTGGTGGAAGTAGCAGGCCATTCGGATACCCTATGCATACTGTGTTATGAATACTGTAAGTTTGGACATGCTACTCTTCTAACATACTATTTTTCACTTACTATATAGTAGGGAATTTTGAATGCAGCCATTCTCTAGAAGAAACAGGTGGATGAAGGAACGACTCTTCCAATCCCTCCGAGATTTCATAAATCTAGTGGGCAGTTGTAATAGTTGCCAATTTCTTCCTTGAGGAGGAGAATTGCATCATCTAATGGATTTGGTTTGTTTTTGAGCATCTTACATGTTAGAAGAAAGACAACCACCCTCCCCAAAAAACTCCCAGCTGACTCAGACTCCACTTTCCCCCACATATATCTATCATCATAATCTGACTGTTTTTTTCTCCTTCTCAGCGTGTTGGTTTATAGGTAATCACAGTTATTTTCTTGAATTTAGAAATCCAACGCACCTCAATGAGACTAATTTCCGTTGTCCTCACGCATTCAACAGCCTTCTATCTGTCTCCTGGCCCTCACAGAAAAAAAACAATGTCTTAAAAAATCCAAGAAAGGAGTGAAACTGACTGATTATCATGGTTCTTCTCCTAATCATGCAGAGAGGTTGACGCAAGAGCCGTGTAACGAATCAGCTCATGGGAAATATGAATAATTAACCATAATTAGTTATAGTTAATTATGAATATTTTAGATCCGCTGTAGATATTTAGTTGACCTCACAGGGTCAACTTTCTTGTCAATTCTAAGAACATTAATTTCCTGGTTAAAGGAAATAACTTTATTACTGTACAATTCTACAAAGCTTGTAGCGTAAATCTGCATGATTAGTGACTCCGGTTATGAGCAAACAATGAACACGTCAAGTGTGATACAAGTAAGGTTTTATTAACTACATAAACACTTAAACTAGTCCAACAAACTACATAAACTGGTCTAACATACACATACACGCATACAGTTGGTATAGGAAAGGGTTAAAGTTTAACTCCGTACAGA